TATAGTGTGACTTTTGAGGTCACAGAAATTCCCATGATCCAAGATTTGATTTTGCACACTTTGTTTTATGCTGGGAATCCCACCATTGTGCTATTCCTTGCTTGGTTGTCACCACTTCTCAACCTCAGACGGTGCTATGGTCCATACAGTGAGGCCAGGGCCATGGAGAATCGAGGCCAGGAAGGTGGTAATTGGTAATCTGGGCTGTTTTAGCAGAGGCCTGGACCGACTTCCTTGCACATTAATACACATATGCCTTTTATAAGTGAGGGAAGCAAAACTGGAACTTGCTCTCGGCAGCCAGAGAAACTAGCACTGGGCTGAGGGGGATTGGGACTGACACTCACCTGCTATGTGACTTAGGGAAGTCATTGAACCTCTCTGAGCCTCAGAGCCATTCAGCATGAACCCTGCAATTTTATTTTTTCCAAATCCTTATCCTGAGAGTAGAGAGATAAAGGGTGGACTGATGAGGGTACTGGGCACTAAAGTGGGGAGAAGAAAGTTATCTAGACCAGAGGCCGGGGAGTGGTAGAAACAGGGGAAATGGGCATGGGAGAGGACAAACCACCCTCTCTGTGTTTCAGAGATGAAATGGGGAAGGGGACAGTTTGGGCCAGTAGGAATTAACATGGACCCATTTCCAAGCTCGGGACAGATGGTGAGCGACATTCACAAGTACCTAACCTGGCACTAAGGAGGCATGTGTGATATTGTGGGCAAGACAGCTGCATTGGGTGTCTGGGGAGTTTAGGTTTCAGCAGAGAGGATAGATGCCATGTGTTGAGAACACACATACGATGGGGAAGCCGAGAGAGCCTGGAGGTCCCATTCTTCATTAGTGGTCTCTGCCCCAAATTCACCCTGGGAAAAAGCCAGGCACATGGGCTCTAACCCTCCAGTCATTGTCCCTAGAAGCTGGGAAAAGACAATGGAAATATTTGATGGGAAACCAGTGAACAAATATTCAGGTCCCTGAGGAGGAAAAGAAGGAGGGAGGGAAGGAGAAAGATTGAGGCTCAACCTCATGGCCCTCCCAGGAGTTCTCCTGGAACTGAGAACCTAGGAGGCAGGACGAGGCCTCCGAGCAGCCCAGAGGAGGTGTGGGAGCCCACCAGGCCCAGGTCAACGGGGAAGCACCGAGCCCCTGTGGAAAGACTTGATAAATCTTGAGACCTCACAGGATTTAGAAAGAACCAAGTGCCCCTTCTGCTGCCTGCCATGTTGGATGGGTCATTTTATAAGGAGAGGTTCATTATAAGGTTAGGGGACATCTCTCATGAGTGGAGAGAAGGAGAAGCCTGAGCTGAGCAGAGAGTGGAGTGGCTTGCAGCTCAGGGACCAGTGTTCTCTCTCTCTATGAGGTTTCTGGAAGCTTTTGACCATGGACCCCTGCATGTTCTCCAGAGGATCCAGTAGTGCAGAGGGGGGGCTGGGATGCAAGTCGGGGCCTCTAGACTGGCAAGACAAGGCTCAGTTCCAGTCTTCTCTTCATCCAACCTGTTGCTTCGAGTGGCAGAGCGCAGCCGTCCACACTGTTGTGACCTCCGGTGACCCAGAGAAATTTCCCATTATTAGTGGAGAAGTCTTTCTTCTTTTTATAAGAGAAAAGAACGATCATGTCTTACTTAAGGGCAGTCTGTATGTGTGTGTGTGTGTCTGTCTGTCTGTCTCTGCAGGCCTTGTCCTAGCCTCCCAACAACACCAGTGTGCAGCCAGCCAGCAATTTCCCAACAGAAAAATCTGCAGGTGGGAGTAGGGAAGGGTATATCTGGAACAAGCGACTAACTTCTCTCTTGCTCCTACCCCACGCTCCTCCGTGCAGCCAGCCAGCAATTTCCCAACAGAAAAATCTGCAGGTGGGAGTAGGGAAGGGTATATCCGGAACAAGCGACTACCTTCTCTCTTGCTCCTACCCCACGCTCCTCCTGCGGCCCCAGGAGCTGCTCAGAACTTCCATGCTTGCTCTGCCCAGCCTCACAGGACAGTAAGGTTTCCCACCAGCAGTAGACTTCCCATTAGCTCATCGGGGGGCCCAAGGTAAATTTCTGTAACTCTTCCACAAACTCATCAAAAATTTGTAAGATGATTTTCTGTGGAAGCTGATTGTTAAAATCAAACTGAATGAAAAGATGCTTATATACACTCCCACTTATTCCCATGTCTCCCAGCACGGCCCCCCTCTGACATATCTGTGACACAAACGAACTTTCTCGAAAGCCACCTAGAATCATCAGAGAAAGCCTTCAGCCTGTTGAAGGGAGCCTTTGTGGGCTCAGATCCGGTCTTCTCTTCCGTGAATGGTTATCAATATTTTGGATAAAGCTTTGAAGTCTGGTCATTTGTTACTCTTGCAAGTCGTCAGATTGATCCAAGGGCACGTTTCCTCTAACCAAGTGAGTGAAGGGGAAGGCCTTTTAAATGCAAAGGGAATTGGGTGCACACACACCAGCTGGCTGGATCCCTGGTCTTGACCCCTTCCCGCCTCCCCCCCGCCCCCCAGCTTCCCTCTCTTTGAGGTCAGAAAGAGAAAACTAAATTCAGGAAATTACAGCTCAGGGAAATTCTGTCACAGGGAACCCGTCCATATTTGCAACAGCTTAAAGATACTCACCTCCCCATGAAAGGCGCATGGGCTGAGTAACTAGCACATGGAAGAACCTGCTGAAAAACAGTCTTCGGGTTAAAATTGTCTGGGGTTCTTGACAGTTCAAGGGAGGGCAATCTCTGGTCTTCTAGTCTTGTATACCTTTTGGCCTTTGGTGCGCTTCACTCTCGCAGGGCGAGAAGCGTGGGAAGCTGGAGCTTGGCTTTTAACAGGAATTGCCCCGACCTTGAAAGTGTTTCTTTGTCGCTCTTAAACTGAGGAAGTCATGCTGCATCGCAGTCTGTGATAAAGTAGGTCTTGGGGCAGAGCGCACACGGTTTGTGTTTGTGTGTGTGCCTGTGTTTTAAAGGAAGGTGGAGAAAGAAAAAAATCATTCAGGGATGGTCGCGGTGGCGTCAGGAAGGTGAGAGACTCGGGCTTTGAAAACGGTTCACACTCCGCCCTTTAACTTCGTGCCCTCCCTCCGGACTGCTCCCGAGCAGACGGTTCAATTGACTCCTTTTGTGCCCGGTTTATTGCTCAGAACCCCCAGGGTCTCGATTTGCTCTCAGAAGAAACGCGCCCCACTGAGCTGCTCTCCGAGGCAGCCCCTCCCGTCTCCTCATTCCTTTCTCCGGGCACGAGGGGCAGGAGAGGCGAGGCCGGCCGCCGAGCCTGCGACGCGGGGGACAGGCACCGGGCACCAGAGTCAGGCTTTGAGCAGCGTGCGTCCCACGGGCGCGCTCCTAGACCCTGCACTGCGCCTGGAACGCCTCGGCAGTGGCACCAGGTGGCCTTCCAACCGCACCCGCACATATTCTGCAAACTTTGCAAGAGTCCTTGAAAGGTCCGGCGATGGGAAAGAATTCTGAAACACATCCCAGGCCGGAGCCCCGCGCGCGCCCGGGGAAAGGGGTGTC